CTTAGATATGCGCAATGATTGCCTTTTTTAATTGGCAATCGCACAAGTATGAACGCTGGACCTTGAGCAATATTGGTGGGTGCTGCGGACGAGGTCGGCCGTTTGAGGTATCGTTAAGGGTGGATAAACAGACAAACGTACAGACAGACAGATCAAAATCTTTATGTCAAAGGTCCCCAAGAAAGACTATCGTCTTTAAAAACGCTATAAACGCTCTGCCGTGGGGCGTCGAAACAGTGACCTCTCGAACAGAAGCGCGCGACGCTAACCACTACGCCACAATGTGCATGCAGTCAAGAGTGCTAACGGCAAGCCACTTGTATACGCAATATACCACGATTTCGCGGTCCTCAGAGCTACACAGATTCACCACGTTTTCGTCATCAGAAGTGAGATGGCGTGACGAGCGCGCGTTGGGCCTGCTCTTGTGAGTTTTGCGCTCGCTCACCTCATCACTGCTTTCATGTTCTGGGGACGTCCCTATCAATACCCTCTTGTCGCACCTCTGTGCATAAATTCAAGTTGGAATCCCCGTCACCCCGCCGCGGTGGTCTAGTGTCTAAGGTACTTGGCATCTGACCCGCAGGTCGTGGGATCGAATCCCGGCGGCGGCGGCTGCATTTCCGGTGGAGGCGGGAATGGTGAAATGGTGTAGGTCCGTGTGTTGAGATTTGGGCGCACGTTGAAGAACCCCCGGTAGTCTAATACCCTGTCACACGGGCACACGTGAAGACCGTTTAACTCCCTCGTCCTTACGACAACGAAGATGCCGTCCGTGTCACACGGCCACCCTTACGCAAACGAAGGTAAATGGAGCATTTCGCAAAGGACGTTCAACGATCTCCCTTCGCAGCGAAACGAGGTACTCTCGTCCCCAGCAGTATATAAGTCAGAGAAAAATTTCGAGTACTAAGTCGCCGCAGTGAAAGAATGATACATTTTGGCAATATTAAACGTTCTTTCGTTGTAGTAATCATTCACAACGGGTGTTTGTTTACATATATTTACGCGCGCCAGAGTTCACTTACTCCTCACACCAATGCCCTCCTACACACCGTGCCTCGCGAGTCTGGCCGGGCGGCGCCAGCCGATCAACGTCATTACCAGCGCAATATCGTACCACTTCCTCACGTCGTCCGCTGTGTCACTCATGGCTGAAGAACACAAAATGTGCCTCACGAGGCAAGGAAGCATAAGAATTTTAGTACCGGGCATGTACACGGGCAACAATACAACTAAAAGCACAATATGGCCAGCGTCACTAGCAGCATCGCTACATTTAGCAAATGCGTTTTTATTTGAAATTGTTTTAATGGTTTGTTAGTCGCATACCTACTTAATAGTGCTTTTTTGTAAAAATCGCATAACGAGGATTCACAAAAAATCAATAGAGATGAAATAAGAATACTTTTCAAAAAATCAAACAGCGCCAGCTGAGCCCTCTCGCGGCAACTGTTACAAACTGGTCATTGCCGTGTGACACTGCCACAACTCCTTCTCCGTAGAACCCCTAGGGGAGATTTAAGTTGACGCTGTTCAACGGAGTTTGGTGGTGGCCGTGTGACAGGGGTATTACATCGCGATCAGTTTCGATATATGCCGATTAGGAAGCGCCATGTTGGCTCGTTAGCGGTGCGGCTCGACTTGACACCTATACCACAGAACACCTATACACACTACCACTTAGAGAAGGGAAACTGTACCTTTGACGATGCAATAAAAAATAAGGGTAGCGGTGGCGTTGCGAACTAACTTATCCGACCTACAGACGGCACCGGTAGGCCTATCGTTTTGGTAATAGGAGGGTTGGTAATAGGATGGGTCGTCAAGCCACAGCTTTTTTAGGAGGGCCCAAAGCTCTGAGGCCAACAGTGTTGCCGAAGACGGTTCTAAAGGGGCACAAATATTCGAGCCACACGGAGTACGTGGGAGAAGAAATCGACGTAAGCACAAAGGCCGAGCTAAGTCAGACATAGGCTATAATAACATGCAGAGTGGCTGGAATAGGTTAAAGTGGGAAGAGATAGAAGAGCAGTTGAGGCAGTAGGAACTGATGGTATATGGGGTTGTGGAGACACATCTTCGGGACAAGGAGCAACCACCTTGTAATCCGGACTACATTTGGGAATATTGTAATAAAACAGAAGGCAGCAGAAAGGGGGGGGTGGTATTGGGGCATTCATTCATAAAAGTACAGACTGGCAAAGAGTCAAGCAGGAGTGCAAAGAACATTTATGGCTAAAAGGGAAAGTGGCAAGGCAAATGACACTCCTTGGTTTGGTGTACTTGTGGACGGGAGCAAAGGCCAAAGAGGAAAACCAGGCAATGGTAGAGTGTATATCAAAGGACGTTGAGGAATTAGGAGGAGAGTGTGAGATAATTATACTAGGAGATATGAATGCGCACATAGTAGATATAGATGGGTATACTGACTCAACAGGCGAAATGATCATAGATATGTGCGAAAGGCATGATTTGATCATTCGCAACAGTACTGAGAAGTGTGAAGGGCAAATAACATGGGAGGTAGGAAGGCTGCAGTCGACGATAGATTATGCATTGATGTCACATAGGATGTATGATAGGCTTAGGGTAATGCACATAGATGAATGTGGCTCCAGAAGTATAAGTAGTGTTCACAAACGTATCAGGCTAAGTTTTGGAAGAGCAGTGAAAGTAGGAAGGAGGCAAGATGGGCAACTATGGGGAATTTTTATTCAGAAAGGCAAATAGAAATAGCTCTTGAACAAATTGAGAAAGTAACCACTGAGGATAATAAAACAGTACGGACATATACGAATCTAATTAGACTGCTTGAGCTAGAGCTTGCTAAGGCACATGACAAGTCACCCCGGAAAACAAAACACAAACCCAAGAGTTGGTGGGATGAGGAAGTTAAAAGAGCCATGGCAAAACGTCAGGAAGACTCTAGGGAACACAGACATGCTAAGCAGCGGGGTGAACCGACAGATGATGTTGAAAGAAAATGGGCCATCTTTCTAAGCTGTATAAAAGAAGCATCTCTTCTGATGAATGAAAAGATTAGAAGAAAGGGGGTCAGTGGCTGGCAGAAGTACGTAAAAATAATAGAAAGGCAGCTGTGAAATTTTGGAACCATCTCAACTCTCTTAAGAAATGAGACACGCCTGGAGCAGAGGTTTATAACTACAGCTCAAGGTGCTAGGCTAGAAGGGGACGAAGCTATTGAATATAAAAGAACAAGGGTGACAGGAAAATTTCTAGAAAAAAGTGCCTTATGCACCACGATGGACAAGCATGGATCAAGTGGCGCAATGGCTCCATTTTCAAAATGAGAGTGGGAAAGAGCTGAGAAGAGGGTTCCTAGCAGTACATCAACAGGCCCAGATGGCATTCCAATTATGCTGATAAAGACATTGGGTTCGAAGAGTAAACAGACTTTGAGAGAGGCAGTGAGCTAAAGAATAATTGATGGTGAAGTCCCCGATGAATTACAAGCCAAATTAGAGGGAAATGGACTTGGCTTCTACCTCTCTTTCGTCAAACAAGGAAAACTCATTGATCGGGCACTACCAGCATTGATGTATGCAGATGATATAGTGCTAATGGTCGACAACAAGGCAGATTTGCAAAGATTGATTAACATCTGCGGTAATGAGGGAGATAGGTTAGATTTCAGATTCAGTAAGGAAAAATCAGCATTCATGATTTTAATGATAATGAAGGTAGTGAGGTTAGAATACAGGAGGTCACGAGTGTTGAAGATTGGGCGAGTTGGTTCGTCGTACTTGAACTGGTATAGCGCATTACGGGGAAGAAGAAACGACTGAGCAGACCGACACAAGAGGACAAAGCGCTAGTCCCAAGAAGACACAAGAGGATAGCACTCTGTCCTCTTGTGTCGGTCTGCTCGGCCGTTTCTTCTTCCCCGTAATGCGCTATACCAGTTCAAACAGGAGGTCACGCTAGAGATAACAAATAAATACAAATATCTGAGCCTATGGATAAGCAATGGGACCGAGTACCTGAGGGAACAGGAAATATACGTGACGACTAAAGGAAACAGGAATGCACCAGTCATGAAAAATAATGCACTGTGGAATTACAATAGGTATGACGTTGTGAGAGGAATATGGAAAGGGGTCATGGTTCCAGGTCTGACGTTCGCAATGCGCTCTTGTGCATTAGATCAGATTTTCAAGCAAGATTAGAAATTAAGCAACGTGGAATAGGGTAGGCTTGCCTTAGGAACTCACGGGAATACACAAAATAAGGGAGTACAAGGTGATATGGGATGGACATCATTTGAGGACAGGGAAGCTAGCAGCAAGATAAAATTTGAGAAGCGATTGAGAGAAATGGGGGAGGAGCGTTGGGCTAGGAAGGTTTTCAGCTACTTGTACATGAAGAATGTCGATACAAAATGGAGGAAGCGAACCAGGAAATTGACTGGTAAATACTATATAGAAAACAGCAGGTGGCCAAACCAAAAAGAACCATCGGTTAAGAAGAAAGTGTAGGAAACGGAGACTGACATGTGGAGAATTGGCATGATTAAGAAGTCCGCACTAGAAATCTATCGAGCTTTTAAGCAGCAAATTGCCAAAGAAAGGATCTATGATAATACTCGGGGTAGTTCTCTACTGTTTGAGGCCAGGACGGGAGTATTGCGAACCAAGACATATCGGGCCAAATACAAAGGGGTAGACACAGTATGCAGTGCGTGTGGAAAGGAAGAAGAAACTGCCGAACACTTGATAATGTTCTGTAAAGGGCATCACCCTATAGTTCAGGATGATGGCGCAGAGTTTTTCAAAGCACTGGGATTTAGGAACAGGGAGGGCAAAATAGACTTTAAGCGGGTAGAATTAACTAGAAGGAGGTTATCTGATTGGTGGCTAAAGTCAAGGCACGAGTGAAAATTAAACCCTTCACATGCAAAGTAGGAATCCTCAAAACTCATGCTCAACATGCTAAAACAGCCTTACACAAATTACACAACACTGAACAACATAACACACTCGAGGCGGCTTCGCCAAATTCTGGTTCACCACGAGGGCCCGCGGGCAGACAGCCTGCGGTGCCGTCCACAGCAGCCCTCCGCTAGAGACCACCATTCACGGCAACCCCACCTAGGCGTCACCGCCGGTGCTACGCACTAATCATGCTGATGATAGTGGTGACAAATTCTTGCGTGCACGCCACCTAATGCTCGGTAGTTGTTCAATGATTCCATTGAACGAATGTAAAGGTAAGGTACAGCAAACCAAGGTAAAAGAAATCTCGCACACTGATGCCAGTTTTCAATTGGAAGTTCAATTCCGCGAAGACTTCTATGTTGTCCCTTATACATTCTAATACCTCATCGTGAGCCAGTGAGTATAGTATAGGGCCTTTATGTCAATTGAAAAACCGAAAACATTAATTTGATTTGACTGTTTGAAAAATTCTATCAGTGCCATCGAGTTTATCAGAAATGGGTCATCAATCTTTAGACACTTTAGATGGGTCTGAATAAACAAGCAGAGTTGCTTTTGCCACGTTCCACTTTCTGTCACAACGACTCGGAAGGGCATTCGGCTTTATGTGTTTTGGCAAAAAAAAAACATGCTGAGTCCATTTTTGTCGCTTTTACTAATATGCTGAGCTAACTGTTTCAACTCTAGTTTACAACAGATTTCCTTGGTTTGCGTTTTTACTCTATCTAGACGAATGTCGGTACAACTTTAGAAAACAGCAGATAGCTGTGACCGCCTTTTCTAGAGACAAGCAATTAAGAACAGCGAAACCACCTCCATATCTGACGGCACGACACAAAGTTCGTCTCTCAGAAACTTGGTGGTCTTCCGCTACAGAAGTCTGGTGCTGGTAGGCTTACACCCCATAGGAGCATGTCGACGCCTTCCGAGATGCATCTGTCCGAATCCTTTGGTGAGGCACGGCCAGCAACAGAGCGCACAATTATAACAACTGGGACACTTGTTAGTTTGCACTCATTTGTACTTGCGATTATATTTCGTGCATCGTTTTTGTTTTAACAGTGCCTTAAGTGTCGAGCGGTAAATGTTGTAGTTCATTCTCATCCGGTGTATGTTGTTTTTGTGCGTTATTTGGGCGTGATCAGTGTGCTGCACGTTTTGATCTGCTTGCCATTCTCAGCGTAACATTCTAAGTTGTTGCTTTCACATTCATTGCTTTGGATTATGTGCGTGAATAAATTTTCGAGGGGAAGACGAGCCCATTTTTTAATATATTGTCTGTTATTTGATACTTAATCGAAATTTTATTGGTAATATCCTAATCACCAACACTAAATTTGATGGTCGGCTAAAACTTTTCAGCAAGGATATTCAGAAAAAAAGGTTCTGTCACCCCCTCATGTATCAATCTGGGAATCGTCATAGTTAATTTCACGATTCTAGCATCTTTTGAAAGTTCTGCAGGCCTGGAATAAGAGAACCATGTGCACTATTTTGACATATTGTCATAACTTGAAAACCAGTGAACATAACTTCATGAAATTTTGTAGTAGTTATAGTGGTTTTGCTATGAACATATCCTGAAAATTTCATTGAGATATATCAAAAACAAAGGTTGGTATTGTATGGTAGTTTCCCCACGTGAACATGCCGATGCCAACTGCACACACATTAGAAATGCCAACGCTAGGCATAGTAGAAATTCCAAGTTTATATTTCAGTTTTGTTTCATTCTTGCTATACTTGAAGGTGCCAGATCATGTTGCTAATTCAAGCGAACCTCTTTCCAGTTTGTTATTGAGCAGTGAAGACACCCAAGATCGCACTGATCGCGTTGTCCTCACTCCGTGGGTGAAGTTTCTGTGGGAGTCTTATCGTCAGCGCTTGGAGCTTCTTCATAATAACTCGCGTGTGGAATGTCTCTATCATGACATTGCACGACAGGCGTTCAAGTTTTGCCTCAAGTACAGCCGCAAGACTGAATTCCGCAAACTTTGCGATCATGTAAGTGTTTGGCCTATTGAAATTTTGTTTTCCTTTTAGGATAACAGTTGACACTGTTGGCCTGTACGACTTGCTATATTGGTTATATAGGTGTGCAAGTGCTGCGCACAAATGGCACTTTGCATGTTCTGTGCCAAATTTGGCAGAGTTTTATCTTCTACCAAGCATGACGCATTGAATACGCAAAGGATGCCGTAATATCCATATTCCGAGTAGTTCGTTTACGTCGTATCATGGAGCATAGTGCTCCCGCCTGGCGTGAACTTAACACCATGCATGAATCTTGCACCACTCGAATAAAATTCTTGTATCCTGTTATCAAGACGGCTACGTATATTGAAAAAAATTATAAAATGCCGCATCCTTATCTAGCCGCACCCTTCTATTAAGCTACTAAATGTTAACTGCCGTAGTATTGTAAACAAGTCACTTGAACTAGAACATCTGATATCGATACATGATCCGGACATTATTGCATTGACAGAGACCTGGCTTCACCATGGAATCCACGATTGCGAATTTGTTCCCCCAGATTATCGTGTTTATCGCAAAGATCGTGATTCCAGGGGAGGCGGTGAGGAGCATGCTCTTTAAAAATAACATACAAATTGCTAGAATGGCCGACCCCATTGGCGTTGAGGCCTTATTTTGTAAGATGTGTCGCGACAAACAGTGCATGGTCATTGGTGTTGTTTACAGAGCCCTGGTACCAGAATTGATGCTTTGCAGTGTCAGGTTCTGCACTTCTCACCTGACATATTGTCGCCATCCGTGATTGCACCACACACCACTGCACTTGAGTCCACAATCACGTGTCCGCAAAGCAGGCGTTTTCCAAAACGTTCGCCATGGGGTCGATGACGCCGTGTTCGAGCACTGGTGGCTCGTCAGCTTGCAGAGCTTTGGTGCTAAAGCCACAGCGGCGAAAGCAATTTGCTATCGTAAGCGCTGTCACTCGCTTCCAAGCACGCACAAGCATGTGTAGTGCACTTAGGAGCATCACTTGGCAGTTATTGCATGAAATAATTCATTCCAACATATGATCCCGATAAAATGATTTTAAATTTCTAAATATACTCTGGTCCATGGGCTGCAGTACTGCTGTCGTGTTTGCTGGAAGGAAGGCCAGCTCAATGGCCTTAGTCAATGGCCTTAGTCTCAACATTGACTTTATGAGCCGAACAGTTGTCCACAAGAAGCCGGACTTCGCGGCCACAATGTTTGAACTTCCCTTCCGCTATCGACCAGCAAATTCCTCGAATCCATGGATCACCCGTGACATCATTCATTTAAAAAGGAAAATTAATCGCTTGAACAAACGGTTCAAAAGAAATCGTAATACGAAGCTAAAGGAAGAAATTTCCCAGCTCTCTCGTAAACTAAAAGACCTACTGCAAACAGAGCGGCGTACATTCTACACTGTGCGCTTGAGCAGCATGATTAAAGAATCGCCCTCCAAATTTTGGCGAAGTATAACTCCTAAGCACTCGGAAACTAGCACTTTCGTAATAGATAGCATCTGTACCTCAGATTCCACAGAAATCTCGAATTCATTTAACGAAAACATCAAGTCCGTATTTACAGTTGACGACGGAACTATCCCGTCTTTCGATAAATATAAAATGCTGCCATCTGTTGAGGATGTTATAATTACCGAACCCGGTGTACTTAATCTGCTCCTCAACTTAGATGAAAAAAATCTCCAGGACCTGATGATATACCCAATGCATTTCTGAAAAGATACGCGGAGTGGTGCGCCAAATTCCTTGTTATTATTTTTACTTTGTCTCTTTCAACTGGCGTCCTGCCGGAAGATTAGAAAGTGTCCAAAATAAACCCCTATTTAAACAAGGGGGATAAACAGTCAGTTACGAATTACCGTCCTATTACCAGCACTTGTTGTAAATTATTAGAGCATATCATTCATACGCACATATCTACTTTTTTAACAACGCATTCGGTTCTCTCTTCAGCGCAACATGGTTTTAGGCGCGGCTTTTCCACTGTGACCCAACTTGTCGAAACCGTACATGACTTCGCCGTGACTATCAATGACCGTAAGCAAACAGATGTGATAGTTATAGATTTCGTGAAAGCGTTCAACAAGATATCTCATGTAAAACTAATGATCAAACTACGTGCCATTCTTAAAAATGATAAACTTTGCAGTTGGATTAAATCATACCTTACTTCTCGTTACCAATATGTCATCTTCAGCGACACTCCTTCTAAAACAGTACCTGTCACTTCGGGTGTACCCCAGGGTTCGGTTCTGGGTCCGTTGTTATTTCTTCTTTATGTTAACGACATTGTTGGCGAGCATGACATGAAAATTAGGTTGTACGCTGATGATTGTCTGATTTATTCTGCTGTAGACTCTTTGGATGACCAGATTAACCTTAATTTGAAGCTGAACGATGTTATTCAGTGGTGCAACACATGGCACATGTCTGTTAATAATAAAAAAGTGCTGTTATGTCAATCACAAACAAGAAGCAACCCCTTATTTTCAATTACACAGTCGAGAATAACGTTCTCACGCGAGTAACTGAGTATAAATACCTTGGTTTACATATATGTAACAACTTGCATTGGGATAAACACATTACAAACGTTGCAAATCAATCAATGTACAAACTTCACTACTTGAAAAGGTCTCTCAGAAATGCTCCAACAAGCGTAAAATTACTAGCCTATAAAAGCATCGTGTTACCGATTCTCGATTATGGAAATGTAATTTGGGACCCTTTCACGGCGGCTAACTTATCTAAATTAAATCGTGTACAAAATAAAGCAGTCCGTTTTATCTTTAATTGCTATGGCCGCGCATCAGTTTCTGAACTGACAGTCAAGGCTGGTTTATTGAACATTGCAGACAGAAATAAATTATGCCGCTTACGCTTTCTTTTTAAAATTGTGAAGAACCTTCTCAAAGGCGATACTCATCAATACTTAACGTATTTTTCTTCAGGTCATTCATCCCGCCACCGTAACTCGCTGAACTTAACCCCCTTCCAGCCGAGAATCAATGTCTTTAAGTATTCTTTTTTCCAAGAACAGTGAATGAATGGAATAGCCTTGAAAGTCATGTTGTCGAGCAAACTGATATTAACAAATTTGAAAGCCTACTTGAC